GTAACTAATTTATCTTTCTAAATTAACTAGCTTTACTAAAAGCATAGATTTATTTGTTATATCAAAATTGTTATAATATTTCTAATGAAGTGTGAGTGTGGGGGGGTTCTGTATCATCAAGTCAGAACTGACTTATAGAGATTTAATAAGGTTTTCAAGGTAAGTGAGATATTTAAGGAGTGGTTTTACCAGTTCCTTTCCCCCAGACAGTTTTCATGACTGAGTGGGGATTTGAACCTTGTCTTCCAGAATCTTAGTCCACCACACTGAGAATTCTTTCTAATCAACTAGAGACATGAAATTTAGTGCATATACTATAGAAAATACTAGAATCGTTTTTTAAAACCCCATCTAATTTGTGCCTCTTTTCCTTAAGATAGAAATCTCAAAATAGTCCTCTACTGTGCCACATTTTATATCTTAGGCATTTTCAAATACCCCAGAAAATTTGGTATACAAAAACAAAAGGTGCATGAGACATATAATTGGAGCAAGAAGTGTGACAAGTATTAATCAAAGTAAGCTTGAAATCACAACACAAAAATGGAACATTTAAACATGGTAAACTAAAGTGGACTGCAATAGGACATTTTCATTCAGCTAATAATTAAATGTTTTACTCTAGAAAAAACAAGTTCAGAAAAAAATGTGTAGTTCTAATAACAAAAGAAGACATAGCACATGTAGTTAAAGGCTATAATGCAAAGTCTGATCTACTAATGTTAGTCAGGCTTCATGGGAAGCCTGCTCACATAACCCTGGCTCAAGTCTATGCTTCAGCTACAGGTGCTGAAGAAGAAATTGACAGCTTTTATGCAAGTATGCAAGAACAAATTGATTATGCGTCAAAACAAGATGTGTTGATAGTCATGGAGGACTGGAATATGAAATTAAAACATACATCAGAAACAAACATTATCAGAGAATTTGGCTAAGGAATCAAAAAGGAAGCAAGGGAGTGACTTAATGAATTCTGTAAAGCAACAATTTCTTTATTACAAGGACATACTTCAGGCAATCTGACAGATGATTGTATACATATTTATTTATTTATTTATTTATTTATTTATTTGATTTATTTGATTTATATGCCGCCGCCCACACTACCCAGAGGTCTCTGGGCAGCTTACAACAATTAAAATTCAATGCAGTAAAAGATAAAATAATTAAAATACAATTAAAATACAATTAAAATTGCCATCAGACCCACAGCTAATATTGTTATCAGATGGCTAATATGGAACTCAAATAGATTATATAATTGGAGGCAGAAGATAAAGAAGTTCTATTTTATGCACAGAAACAGGACCAAGAACACACTGTAGAACATACAATGTTAATATTTAAAATGAGAATACAGATGAAGAGCTGTAAAACAAACATTGTGCCAAAATAGAACTTTAAAAACATCCCTGAAGAACATAAATGTTTTATTTAAAAAAATTGTTTTACTAAGTCCAGCTGACTACAAACCTGAAGAAGTTTGGATTGAAACAGAATGTTTGGAATGTTATCAAGGGAAAACGCCAAGAAAAGAGGGGAAGGGGGGGGGAGGAAGAACTTTTGTAGTCAAAAGAAAAGAAAAACCTAAATTGATGACTGATGAAACATTTAAAATCGCTGACAACAAACAAGAAGCAAAACTAATAGTTGGAACATGAAAAGTCAGCATCCTATATGCAATTGTTCAGTGACTGGGATGTAGGGACAAAGAAAGCAATTGTAATAATAAATGCAAAGAAAAAGAAGCAAACAAAAAGGGAGGAGAGTAAGCAAAAGAGCCTTTCCATGAGATCCAAGAAATCAAAAGAAAATCTAAACTCTGATAGGCTGCTGAATGATCAACAGGGAAATATGTTATCTGATCCGGATAAAACAAGGAGAAGATGGAAGCAGTGTATTTAAAAACTACTGTATATAGAAGAAATGGCAGGGATGACAGATTATGTTTTCCAAAAGGGAATCCTTTGATGAAGAACCTGCCGTTTCAGAAAGCAAAATGGAAGCTGCTGCCAAATTATATAGGGAGGGGAATCTTTAGGAATAAATGGAATACCATTCCATAGTATTTCAAGCTGCAGAGACTAAATCTATCAAAATTCTAACAAGAATGTACAGTGGTGCCTCGCATAACGAGTGCACCATATAACGACGAATTCGCATAGCGATCTCTTTTTTGAGATTGCTAATGCGATCGCATACCTATGGTCTCTATGGCCAGAAATCGCATTGCGACGATCGGTAAGCATTTCGCTTACCGATCTTCGCATTGCGATGTCGGGAAATAAGCTCTTCGGCAGTTCCAAAATGGCCGCTGGACGACCCAAAATGGTCGCCACAACCATTTTCGCGCCCTGCCCTCGCTTATCAAGGGCGCGAAAATGGTGGCGCTATGAGGAAACATCGCTTAACGGTGAGTTTAGAAGCCATTGGAACACATTAAACGAAGTTTAATGCGTTCCTATGGCATTTTTCGTTCCGTATAGCGATATTTCCCCATAGCGATGGTTAATCCGGAACGGATTAACCTCGCTATGCGGGGCACCACTGTACTCACAAATATGGACAAAACAATGGCCCATAGATTGTTCAATATATATTTCAGCCCCAAGGAGATACCGAAGATTGCAGCAACTATTAGACCATCACATTAATGTTGCATGCAAGATAAATGATGTTCACGTTTTTAAAACAAAGAGTTTTGCCATGGAGCAAGAAATATCACATGTCCAAGCTGGTTTCAGAAAATAAAAGGGACACTAGAGATAATATTGCAAATATATACTAAATATACTGAATAGTGGGATATATAAAAGAATTTCAGAAGAAAATCAATTGCTGCTTTATAGGTTACTTTAAAGCCTTGGCTCTGTAAATCTGGAAAAGCTATGAAGCATCTTAAAAGAAATGGATGTGCCACAAAATTTGATTTTCCTATTGAATAACTTTATACCATTTTCATATTGGCAGTGAGAATCTGTAATTGTTATCGATTTTCTGTGCCTCAGTCCAGTCATCAAACATGAACTAATGAATTGGCAGAAGTCTAGGACTTGGTAGGAGAAATGTAATGGACCTTTAAAAGATTCTCAAGTGTAAGAATGTGCTGCTGAAGATCAAGATGATCCACACTATGGTATTCCCAATTGCCGTGTACGGGTGTGAGTTAAATAATGAAGAAAGCTGACTGGGGGGAGGGGGAGGGAACAGTTCATCTGCAATGTGGTGCTGGAAGGGAGCTTTAGAGATACTATGGACTGCCAGAAAATGCATTTTAGAACAAATCAAACCTGTATTCTCACTACAAACTAAAATAGGTAAACTGAGGATACTGTACTTGGGAGATATCACGCAAAGACAAGAGTTACTGGGAATACAGTAATGTTAGGAAACGTGGGAGGCAGTGGATGATTTAATAAAAGAACTCATGACTTCTAGGTTAATTCTAGTAGAAAACAAGAACATGTAACACAGGACACTCTTCAAGACCAGAAATTTGTTGAAATAATGATATGTCCTCACCAAAATCATCTGTGAGGGTGGAGGGGTCAAGAGAAAGGCCTCTTCTGATTGTTTTAAACCTAGGCAGGTTTATAAAGGAAGTTGAAGTCTTTCATGTAGTTGGATCCAGGTTGTTTAGGTCAAACCCAGTAGTTAGAATTGTTCCTGGAAATGGACCAGAAGCCACTGGAGCTGCTATATTTGAAGAGTTCTGTGATTCTTGTAACCGACTCCAGTTAACTATCTGGATGCAGCATTTTGGACCTGCTGAATTTTTTGAACCTACAAACCCATGTAGTGTGTATTACAGTAATCAAAACATCATGGCCTTATTAGACATCTTTAGGAAGGACCATAGCACTAATTTTATCTGTGCAAATGTACTCCTTGTCACCCTGAGACTAGGCATCCAGGCTCAGGGACAAATCAAGGACCACATCCAAGCTGCGAAACTGTGTTTTTGCAGGAAACATAACCCATCAAGCAAAGATTGAAACCCTTTTTCTTGATCTACCTTTCAATTGACCAGGAGCACCTCCATCTTGTATGGATTAAGCTTCAGTGTGTTCACTCTCATCCACTTCATTACTAACACCAGACACCAATTTAGAACTGAAACAGCTGCCCTAGAATTAGATGGAAGGAAGAGATAGAGTTGGGTGTCATCTGCAAATTGATGGTACTGAACCCCCAAACTCCAGAAAGCTTTTCCCAGTGGTTTAATGTATAAAATAGTATGGGGAACAAAACAGAACTCTGAATGATACCTCAGGTCAATAGCCAGGACAATGAACATGAGTCTTCCGGTACCGCCTTCTGAATTCTCACCTTGAGGAAGGACTGTAGCCCCTGTACAACAGTGCTTCCAGTTCCAGCCCAGAAGGATACTGTGGTCAATGGTACTGAAAACCACTGAGAGGCCCAGCAGAACCAGGAGGGAAACATTCCATCTGCTCAGTTCCTAGCATAAGCCATTCACCAAGGTGCCCAAGACAGTCTCCATCTCATAACCAGACCTGAAGCCAGAGTCAGTTTAATCTAGATAATTTGTCTTACTGAGGAGCTTTTAGAGCTGAGAAGCCACCATATGCTCTGATAACTTAAATGCCTTTAAATGGAATGGAATGGAACATTTGACACTAGCCAGTTTTTATCCAATCCCCTGGGATTCAAAGAGGGCTTTTTCAGCAATTGTCTTACTGTCATGTCATTTTAATGTGCTGAGATGCTACTCTGCTGCAAGGAAGCATTCACACTCTTCCTACCCTTTCACCAGTTCCCTCTAATAGCTTTTATAACACATTTATACACATGTGGTGGCTTTCACCTGTCCACTGGTCTGGTGCACATCCTAATGCTGCAAAAACTGAAACTTCTTCATGGTCTTTTGTGAAAAAAAGTGAATGTGTGAATTCATCATCATCTTAGAATTGCAGAGGTGGAATGCATAATCAGTCCAGCTCCTATTGAAGAGGTTCAGTGGGGAATTGAATACTCAA